CATGGAAAAAGACAAAAAAAAATAAAAATTAAAAAAAAAAAAAAAATCCCTGAGTTACACTCAATGGCCACATGTGGCTAGTGGCTGCCATATTGGATGGTGCAGATATAGAAAAAAGGACCAATCAAATCTAGGAGAGGAAACTGTGCTTTTAATTCAGCCCTTTGACCCTCCACTTACTTCACCATAAAGGCTAAAGAGAAAATATCAAAGTGCTCACAATTTGACAACGTGTAATAAGAAGGAAATGCTTATCTCAGAGGAAAAACATAATCAAGGCAAACACTGGACTTGACCTAATTAAATCAGTGAACTTTTTATTTATTTTTTTTCCCTTTTTTTTGGTCTTTTTTTCGTGACCGGCAACGGATCGCAACCCTCAGTGTCGCGCCCGTACCGGACCAGGACCGGCAACGGGATCGCAACCCTTGGTATTGCTCCCGCACCTCGCTCAGCCAGTGAGTGGCCGGTCTGTATGTGGGATCCGAACCCTCGGCGGGAGCGCCGCCGCGCTTCCCAACCGGCGCACTGTAGCAGTGCGCCACCGGGCCGGCCCAAATCAGTGAACTTTTTATTCCGAGATGAGCAACGACTCAAGGTTGGAACATATCATGTTTGTTCAACTTAGAAAGAACAGGAAACAGGGAAAGAAAGGCTCTCCTGGTGAGGATCCCAGGCTTTCAGCCTTAGGAGTTTAGATTTTATGCTGAAGACAGTGGGGAACCACTCACTACTATAGGTAAGGAATGAACCAATGAAAACATAGCAGCATTTACAGAAGGGATCGAATGTACAGTTTAGAAGCTGAGAAACTTATTAAAACTTCTGCAAGTGTGGAAAGCATGAGGGGACCAGTGCCTGAAAGGGAGCTGGTGGCAGAGATGCAAAGAACTTTAAAAAGGATGACCCATACAGGATTTGGGGCAAAGAGATAATCGGCCAGAAATTATTTCAAGATTACTGCCTGGATGAATTGAAAAATACTGACTTGGAGAAGCATAGAACGTGAAAAGCATGTACGTTGGTGCGGAGCTAATGAACTCACTTCCAGGCGCTAGTGAGGCGACGCTGATGTTTGGGTGGCCCGCGCTTCCCGCACTCTTCCCTCTCCGACCCCTTAGAGACCCTCTTAGCGAGTTCTTCTCCAGCCCCAAGCCCCTCACGGGCGTCTCGGCCTCCCCTCGCCCTTCTACGGCCTCTCCTCACCGGCTCCGGCCTCCTCTTCCTCGGTACGGCGGCTAATGCTGTGACCGCGAAGGCTTAAAGCAAGCGAATGGCGGACCCCGCGCTCCCAGAATACCACGCGTTCCCAAAATGCCACGCGCAGTGTCCGCCCCCTTCCTTTCCCCAGTGGTGAGCGCGGTCTCTCCTCTAATTTCTCCTCACTCCGCCGGCTGGGAAACGCGGACTCTGGTACGATAGTTCCGGCACCGGAAGAGAGGGCTGATAACCAGACCCGGGAGCCGCCGGAAACACCGACCCTCGGCCTGGCAAGGGAAAAGGGGCCTCTCACTTCCAAGCATCCCACACCAAAGACGGCCAGGACGGCAAGGCGGGAATCCTGGCCCTGGGCCCTCGGGTCGGAAGCAGGCAAGAGTGGGGCTGAGGGCTAGGACCCCCCCTCACAATTTAACCTTTGGATCCCGTCATGGCCAGGTAAGGGGCGCCCTGAGTGAGGCGAGGTGTCTCATTGCACGGATAGAGAAACAGGTGTAGAGCAGAGCGGCGGCCGACCTAGGGTCGTTCCTAATGGGAGTCGGAGTAGGGCTGCCTAGAGCCTCAGCGATGCATTAAGCGGGGCCAAGGCTTACACCTGAGGCTGGCCAGGGAGCGGGACCCGGCAAAGGCGGAGTTCGCTAAGGGGAAGAGCCTCTGGGGGGCCAATGTTCGTGAAGCTCTGGAGCCTCGGGGCGGGGCTAGGGGCAAGGGGTAGGGCTTCCGGGGAACCGAGCAGGAGAAGGGCCTGCGCATCTGCACGAGGATTGGGTGAGGGGGCGGGGCCACCAGAAGCCGAGACTGCAAATGGCCCAGGCAGGCTATCAGGAGGCCGGGGGCCTCTCACCTGAGGCTGGCCAGGGAGCGGGACCCGGCAAAGGCGGAGTTCGCTAAGGGGAAGAGCCTCTGGGGGGCCAATGTTCGTGAAGCTCTGGAGCCTCGGGGCGGGGCTAGGGGCAAGGGGTAGGGCTTCCGGGGAACCGAGCAGGAGAAGGGCCTGCGCATCTGCACGAGGATTGGGTGAGGGGGCGGGGCCACCAGAAGCCGAGACTGCAAATGGCCCAGGCAGGCTATCAGGAGGCCGGAGGCCTCTAGTAATCCAAGCATGGAGAAAGGGAGGCGGGGCTTACGGAAGGGGCGGGGCGGGGCTTGGGGCGGCCCAGCCGCCGCCTGCAGTTCTCCCCACCGCGGCGGCTGCGGAGGACCTCGGCTCGCAGCGTCCGTGCTCCCACTCCAGCTGAAGCCGAAGCTGCAGCCCGCTCCGGGCCGGGGCCATGGGCGCCCTGCGCCGCTCGGGTCATGAGGACGGAGGCGGAGGCAGCGGGGTCGCCGCTCGAGCCGGGTCAGTGCCTCTCTAAGGGCCCAGCCCGCACCCTGGGGCACCCCGCCCTAGCGCGGGTTTAGGGTCCGGCCGCGCGACCTTGGGCGGACTCCCGCCTCGGCCTTCCTCACCCCCTCCCTGGTCAGTTTCCTGATACTCCCAGGGCTGGGACCCTAGTCAGCTCTGATAGTGATCATGGTGAGAGGGTCCAGGTGGCAGGGGCTCCATATTCCCCAGAAGCAGAAAGTCTTGCTGGAGTGCCTTAGGGAAATTGTAGAGGAACTGAGGTCGAGAAGGGCAAGGAGCTGGCCGAGAGCACCGAACAATGGGAGGGTTCCTTCTCCTGGCCTCCCAGACTCAGCGTCTTGTCTTGCTACAGTTCACCCGGTTCCTTCTTCCCTGAGGTGGCCTGATCCCTTTTGTGGTAGAAACTAAGAATGGCATGCAGTGCCTTGGGCCTCAATTTGCTTGTACAAGAAGTAGGGGAGGGGAAATCACGATTCCTGTTCTGCTTAAAGGCACTGCGTTGATGAGAGAGGGAAAGTGCTAGTAAACTGTAAGGTGTGGGGCTAATTCATGGGTGAGGTCAAGAACATGTGATACTATGGCATCACACCCAGGGAGGGAATGATCTCTTGTGATTGCAGCTTGGAGTACGGTGTGATGCTATTTGGAATTTACATTACTACTCTTCCAGTTGTCTAACTCTGTGATCTTAGACAAGATAGTCTTTCCTGAGCCTCAGTGGAGTAATGGCTCACCTTTGTAGGGAGCTTTCTGTGAGGCAGGCACCATACTAACTTGTTTACATGCAGTGCTTCAATAATCCTCATAATGACCCAGTGAAGTAAGTTATCACTGTTATTTGCACTTTTGCAGATGTGCAGACTGATGCCAAGAAGGGTTAAGTGTCCAGGGCCAGTGGACTGCCTTCCTTCCCTATCAACAGCCACCAACTGGAGCCAGGTCAAGATCTTCCAGGCAGACTCTAGCTCTCAGGTGGAGCAGTTCCTTGGCTCCAGGCATCAACATCTGGCAGTGGCTGTGGGCTCGGAAGTCTAAAGCTGTTATTGGGACAAATGCCAAGGCCTCGCCTACCCTTATCACTCCCCACAGGAGTATCTTTGGGTCCCTACGGGCTGACTTAACCATGCCGACTGGGGGTGGCCATGTGGGGATGTTTAGCCCTGTGGAGATTTTCAGGATCAAGGGCTTCTAGAGCTCAGGGCAAGCAGAGAGGAGCAGGCAGCTGAGTTTCTAAGGGCCCTAGAGAGCAGCTGTCCTACACCATACTTTACAGCTGGGCACAGGGGAAGGCACAGACAGGGACATAACCTGGCAGAAAATGGCCCAGCTAGTTGGTGCCAGAGCTCAGGCCACAGAGTAAGGAGAGAGACTTGACTAGAGGGCTGTAGTCTGGAAGCTTGGGGGATGGAGGGAGCACTGTGATGATGAGTAGGCCTGTACATCTCTAGGGATAAGTTCTTTTTGGAAAATGCTTTCCATTCACTAAGTATGTCTGAGTGCCTGCTCTGGGCTGAGGGCCAGGGGGAGGCCCATGCAACCCCGTTACCACCTGCCACTGAGGAATTTTCAGTCTGTCCAGTAGGGAAAGCAGATACCACCTTAAAGACTGTAGGTTGAGGGGCCCTGAGAGGGAGTGGGGCCAGAGCATTTGGATGTTCAGAGATGGAGAGCAACATTCCAGACAAGGGATATGCAAGAGCAAAGGCTGTGGAGTAAACAGCCTGTCTAGGGGGAAAAAAAAAGGCAGTTTATGGCTACAGTAGGGAGTTCTTGAAAAGAGAGGCACCCCACCATGATAACATAACACCCTACATAGAGTTCTCCCCACAATCAGCCCATTGCAGGGAATTTTAGAATATGAGTCCCTGGAAGTCAGGGCTTGGATGTTTATTCACCTTTCTGTCCCCAGAGCCTAGCACACAGTGAGTGCTTAATAAGTTCATTATTTCCAACAAATGTTTATTGAGTTACTACTGAGCATCAGACACCAGGCACCAGGATGACAGTGAATAAGATTAGTAAGTTTCCTGCTTAGTCTGTTTGTGCTGCTATAACAAAAATACCTAGGATTGGGCAATTTATAAACAACAGAAATTTATTTTCTCACCATTCTGGAGGCTGGGAAGTCCAAGCTCAAGGTGCTGGCAGGTTCAGCATCTGGTAAAGGCCTGCTCCTCGTAGATGGTGCTGTCTAGATGTCCTCACATTGTGGAAGGGACAGAGAGGGGATGAATGTTATGTCACATGGCAAGAGAGCAGAAAGGCAAAAAAAAGGCCCAAGCTAATTCCCTCCTGCCCTTTTATAAGGCACTAATCCACAATGGGGATTTAGTTTCAACATGAATTTTGGAGGGGACACATTCAAACCATTGCTTCTGCCCTTAGGAAACTTACAGCAGAGACAGAGTAGCTTTTTGTTGTTGTTACTTTCGCTAAGCACTGTGAAGGAAACAAACAGGATGCTGTGAAGGAGGGTCCCCTCATCTCTCAAAGACATAGTCAGGAAAAACCTCTCAGAGGAAGAGATTTTGAGCTGGGATCCAAATGGCTAAAAGGGGTAGTCTTGAGAACAGCAGGGTGAAGAGAATTCCAGACAGAGGTAGCAACATGTGCAAAGGCCCTGGGGTAAAATGAAGCCTAATTGGTTCACAGGGTAACTGGAACACAGGTGAGGACCAAAGTGAGACTGGTGGGGCCCAGGTTGGGCAGGGCCCTGCAGCCCATGGTGAAGGTGAGAACTTCATTCTAAGAGCAATGGGAAACTGTGGGTGGGATCCCTTAGGCTGCTGTGTGTAGAGATGGGATAGGGGTTGGGGGTGGAATTTGTGGCAGAGGACAGGCAGAAGTCAGGCAGGACTGAATTCATGGCAGTAGTAGGAGACAAATGTGTGAGGGCCTTGAATGAAGGGCCTGGGTTCCTTTCAGAGGCACTGGGGTAAGGGGAGGGAGGGGAATGAAGCTTCACCTGGCTTGGGCTCTGGGAGCAGGGTTTACATCAGCACCTGCGAAGGGCTTCGTACATATTCTTGTCCTGAGTGCTCACAGCACCCTGAGGTCTGGCATCTATGAGGGTCCATTTCATAGAGGACGAAGCAGGCCCAGAGAGGTCAGGTGATTCAGCTAGTGGGTAGCCTGCCTCGCCCATCCATCCTGCTTTCCATGGGCCTTGCTGCAAACCCCTGGGGGTGAGAAGTGGAGGAGAAAGAGCCAGGAGCAGTTACAGGTTCCTGCCTCCTGGGAACATACAAACAGCCCAGCAGGGCATAGACAAGCTCGATGCAAGGGTCACATCTTATGAGCTCGGACATGAACCCAGGCCTGGAGGAGTGCAGATGAGGGAAAGGGTATGGCCAGCCTGGGATCAGGGTAGGCCCTGGAAGTGGTGGCATCTGAGCCAGGACTTGAAGGCTGGGAGAGGTTGCACATAGGAGGGTAGGAGCTTGGGACTCAGACACAGGCTGGCAGGTTGGAAAGGCCAGGATGGACTCCAGGATTTATGAGTGGCCCCGCTCCAGGAGAGCAGTGGGAGCAGGGCTGGCACAGCAGGCAGGCTCTTGGGGTGGCTCTGCAGGGAGCTGGTCACACAGTCCAGGAGAGGCCCCAAAGACCCCTAAGATGGGGAAACGATGTGGGCTGGGTTTTTACATGCTGAATGGGCATCATGAGTGAGTAATTAGTGGTGACTGGCATGCAGAAGTCCCTGGACCCTGTACTTTGTCCAGATTCTTGGGGTGGCAGAGTAGGAGGGTCCTGCAGGCCACATGTGAGCTTGTCCCACCTCAGGGCCTTAGCAATGCTGCTCCTCTACCTGTGCTCCCTGACTCTCACCTCTCTAAGTTACCCCCCTCCTCCCTCACCATCTTCCCTAGTGTAGGTCCCTGTTATTCTCTTACGTTGGCTTGTGTTTGCTGTCCACCAGGACAGGGACCTTGTTTGTGTCACTCAACGTTGTGTCTCCAGTACACATGCCAGGCACTTACTGGGCTCTTGGGAAATATTTGTCTATTGAATGACTGAATCAGACCAAAGTCCCCCACTTTAGTCATGGCCAAACCCAGTCCAGCAAGAGGAGTCAGTTGCCCAGCCCAAAGCCAGCCAGTAGCAGAGCCAGGACTAGATGCCCAGGTCGGGCCCTTTCTGCTCCACCTCACAGCCTGGTGAGGACAGACTGAGAGGTTGTCCAGGGATGGAGGTGGATAGAGCTCACAGGAGCATTCTATGTACACAGCTTATGTAACAGGCCCTTCCTCCTAGCCATAGTCTTCACACCTTAGTGGTCCTGGGGGTTTTGGAATCAGGCAAACCTCCAGGGGCCTCGAAAACTCAGAGATGTATATCTGCTGAGTGCTTCCCATGTTCCGGCCCCAGGATAAAAGCAGAAAACAAAACAGTCCCTGTCTTTGCCTCTTCAGAGCTCCCACCAAAAGAAGGGCTCTGAGAGAGCCCTGTGAGGGACTGTGCATGCACATAGAGGGGGGCCAGGCGTGAGGGGGCAGTACCATGGAGAAATGATGTCCAAGGCTTAGGCACCTGGGAAGCCAGGAGTATCCAGGCAGAGAGACCAGCTGTGCAAAGGCCCATAGAGGTGAGGGATTGTAAGAGGTGAAAGTTTTGCCCAGAGAGCAGCCTGGTGAGGGCGAGGGGAAGTGAAGAGGCAGAGGGTGTTCGGGCAGCATCCATGAAGGTATTGTCTTAAGAGATGACCAGCTGTGCAAAGGCCCATAGAGGTGAGGGATTGTAAGAGGTGAAAGTTTTGCCCAGAGGGCAGCCTGGTGAGGGCGAGGGGAAGTGAAGAGGCAGAGGGTGTTCGGGCAGCATCCATGAAGGTATTGTCTTAAGAGAGAGGGGAACCAGCCCACAGGAGGATTTTGAGTAGGGCTGATCTGCTGTGGCTGGTATTTTGGGGAGATCATCACTGTTGTAAGGAGATGAATGGCTGTGGGAAGGCCCCTGGGCAGCCCCTGTAGGGTCTAGGCAGGAAGTGATGATGGTGGCTCTTATGGGGGTGGGATTGGCAGTGACAGGCACTGTGCTGAGGGTCTGTGACCTCCCTTCATTTCTGTGCAGGAGACTTTGTGCAGCTGCCTGTGCCCATTATCCAGCAGCTCTACCACTGGGACTGTGGCCTGGCCTGCTCCAGGATGGTACTGCGGTGAGTGGGCAGGCCCAGGGCTGGGAGGTCCAGGCCCTCCCCATCCATCCCACATGCTTTGGCTCTGAGGAGACACCGAGAGAGACCTGGGTGGTATTCATTGTCCACATGGCTGTTGTTGGTTGGACCTTGCAGGAGGCCCAGATTCCCACCAGGCCCAGTCCCATCTGCAAAAGCAAGCAAGGAGTGGACCAGGCCTTCCAGGTTTCCACTTTAGTAATGCCTGGGGACTTAGGATGGTAAGGAAAGTCCCGCGTGCCCAGGCCTGGCCCACAGAGCAGCCCTGTGATTGGACCAGTGTGTCCTCCATTGAACTGAGGCTTCATGAGTATCACAAGAACCTTGACAATCAGAGCCAGAAGGGATTGTAGACATTACCTTGTACAAGAGTTTTCAGTTGGCTGCATGGAAGCCCAGATCAGCTTTCCCCTTATCTGTTTTACATCCTGGAATTACGGGCAAGATGGGGTTCAACAAAAGGGTTCTGTGCCTAAAATTTCAAAAACTGCTGATGTGATCCAAGGGCCTCATCTTAGAGACGAAGATGGTGAGTCCAGAGAAGGCAGTGACTGGCTGAAGGTCACAGAGCCTGCAAGAGATGCAAGAAGCAGAATCTAGGCCCTCGACTCTGGGGCCAGGACAGTGCCCCAGGCAGCCTGGCCCCTTATAGCCCTCAGGTTGTTCTCATGCAGTGTGTGGGCAGGACGTGGGGTTTTGTGATGAAGGAGCTCTGACAGTGGCTGATAGACCCGCAGGTGGAGGATAACCCGGGCCAGCTTCCCATTGAGTGCAAACCAACCTCCATGGCCCATCTGCCTGTAGGTACCTGGGCCAGCTGGACGATGGTGAGTTTGAGAATGCCTTACAGGAGCTGCAGCTGACCAGGAGCATCTGGACCATCGACCTGGCCTACCTGATGCGCCACTTTGGCGTGAGGCACCGCTTCTGTACCCAGACCTTGGGCGTTGACAAAGGTTACAAGAACCAGGTGAGCAACTGGCTGCCAGGCCGTCCTGCATGGGGCCACAGAGGTGTAGGGCACTGACTGGTTCCAGTAGTTGGAAGAGGGAGTGGTCAAGGCCTGGACAGGCAAGTGGGCACCCAGGTGTGCAGAGACCAGGGAGCATTGGCAGGTGGGCTATAGGCAGGATATGTGAGCCGGTCAGACCAGGTGAGATTGAGTCAGTCTGCCCGGAGGATCTGAGCATTGAGTCCTGGCTCCTGCCTGCCTTCGACAGCACTCAGAAGATGTGCAGAGGAACATTTCAGCGCATCTTCCTGCATCTTCCCTATGTCCATCCTGCTGTCACTCAGCAAAAGCCAGGCCCAGGGCCTCAGACCACATCACTCTGACCTTGTCTGGCCATCATTTGCCCATTTTCTTCCTTCTCAATGGCACAGCCATCTCTAAGCTGAGTAATTGATATTCTGGAAGAAAAACCAAAATATCATCTTTCCTTTCCTTTTTTTTTTTTTCTTTTGCAAAATAATGCTAACACAGTTAGCTGTGCCAGCACACCAGTGCGTACTCCCTCCCTGCACAGCTAGAGCCGGTCTTGCCTGCCCCAGGGGCACATCTTGGCCCAGCCTCCAAAACTTGGCAGAATAGAGTCACTGCTGGCTTCACTGGCAAGAGGGCTGTCACACTGTGGCCAGTGCTGGTAAACTTAACTCTCCTTTGAACCTTCCGGGCCAGGGGAAGAAGGTTGATAAATCTGGCCCAGTCACCATTGCCTCAAGGCAGAGAAAGGGGCCCAAGAACTGGGCCTCTTCTGCCTCCTCCATGGGGGCTCTGGCCCCCTTGGGGCCCCTGCACCAAACAAACTATGTTCCGTGGACCACACCTGCCTAAGCCTACCTGTGTCCAAGCCATCGCTAGTGGTCTTAGGTTCATTCTCCCTTTACTCATTCACTATAGGCTCCTTCTCATGCCTGCCAGAGTGTACAAGCCCAAGGGAGCTGACCTGAGCCCAGCTGCCCACCTGTTCCTTGAGCATCCTCCTCATACCTCTGTGTGGTCCTGCACACTCCCTGGCTCAGGGCAGACATGGCTTTCTGCCCAAGCGTGTTGCATGTGCCATCTATCCTGGCAGGCATCTCCTCTGCTCTCCTGCCGTCCCTACCTTCATAACATGCTCTTGACTCCACGTGGGGTAAGGGTGGCCAGGGTGGCAGCCACTCCAGCGTGCTCTTCTCTCTTCAGTCCTTCTACAGGAAGCACTTTGATACAGAGGAGACCCGGGTGAACCAGCTGTTTGCACAAGCCAAAGCCTGCAAGGTGCTGGTGGAAAAATGGTGAGCTGTCCCCTGCCCCACCCTCCTCACAGGCTACTCACCACAGACTTGCAGAGGGGGAGGCCTTGGGATGGCGTTTGGGAATGGCTAGGACTCAAGTCAGGCAGAACTGGGGTTTCCTACCCGGGTGGCCATGGGCACTGACTTGCCCCCTGATCTTTGGTTTTTCCATCCATAGAATAGGGATCAGTGTGGCTGTATGACTTAGGCTCTGGCCTGGAGTGGATCCTGAGTAGATGCTGGAAGGACAAGTGAGCAAGACAGCTGTGGCCAGAACTTAGGACCCCTAACGAAGGGGAGGTGGCCAGAGGAACATGCTGGCACAGTGATTAACAGGGAGCAGGGAGACACAGGTGTAGGCTGTCTAGGGAGGCCTGGCTCCCAGATCTCCCCATGGGCTGTTGTGACCTTACATGGGCCTCCACTTTCTCATCTGTATGCTAGGGGCTTGATTCAGGCAGACCATGAGAACAGCTTGCCGAGATGCAAGTGGCATTCTGCAGGCTTGCTGTGGGGGCCGTGCTCAAGCCTGCTGCCTTTGGTCCCCAGCTGGGCTCCCTGGGACCCGTCCTCTCAGGTTTCTTTACAGATTTATGTTTTTATTATTAACATAATGTAACTACAAAATTGGTGATTTGGAAACGGATGGAGGGAGAATGTCTACTCATCTTTTGGCCAAATGAGCATATATTGGAAGGAAAGGCAAGGAACGTTTATTTAGTGGGCTTTGACAAGCGCTGTCTCATTGAGTGGGGAAGCTCTTGCTGTTCCCAAACTGAGATGGCCCACAGTCACCCCCAGCATATTGGCTGTGCCGTGATCTGAACTCAGCATTTCCACACCCACTATTCCAGAAGCCTGAAGCTTTTCTTTCCAGCCCAGTCCCTGCTTTTTTTCTGTAGCTGAAATCCTACATCTTGTACACACCATTGGGAACTCAGCCAGCTATTTTGTTTCAAAGACCAATGAAGAAATGGTATGTTTCCTTGGCCAAGGTAGCAAACCCGACTGCCACATGACTTGGCCATGCCTGGAGTTGAGCCAGGCCACAGGGTGCTGATGCTGCCCCCCGAAGAGATGATTCATGAAGGAGGGCTGCAAGTGGTGAGCAGCCCCACCAACGAAGACTGGCCCTCAGTCTAGGGGACCTCCCCCAAGCTGCTCCTGCCCCTTCTGGTTTTTTGTTTGGATTTGCTGCCTACTGGAGGGCACAGAATGGGGCAGCGCCTACGAGTCTGCCTTGGGCGGCTCCAGGCAGCCACCACTGCTGAACCAGGGTATTCCCCTGGAAGTGCTGCTAACCAGCCCTTCCTGGAGAGTCCCTTCTGCCACGATGGGCCTTAGAAAAAAAGGAAAATAGCCCTTTGAGAGAAGCATTTGGTTTTGAAACTGGTGAAGCCATACTTGGCTCAGATTTGGTGAATTAAATTAGACTGGCAGCTTCCACTGTAAACCACACATGATTTAGGATAAAGGAGAAGTAGGGGCTTGACAAAAAGAATTCACTACTCAAGCCGGGGGTTGGGTTCTGTGTGCTGCTGCAGTGGCCCTGGACTGGGCCCATCTGGAGCTGACCTCCTGCCTGCCTTTCCTGACAGAGCCTGTTCCTCCTTGTGTGCACTCAGAAGTCCCCCCCACACCTGCCACACACACACTGGTCCCATGCTTGGCCCTGGGCCGAGCCTAGGCCACGGTGACAAAACAAGACATTCTCACCTTTAAGGAGCTCAGGGAAGAGGGAAGATGAGCAGTCCCCAAGCTGCATAACACAGGGAACACGGGTACAAGCAGAGATCCATTGGAGAGAAGGGGAATGGGGGCCCAGCGGCACCAGCTGACCCCCTTCCCACCCACAGCACGGTGAGCGTGCAGGACATCCAGGCGCACCTGGCGCAGGGCCACGTGGCCATCGTGCTGGTGAACTCGGGGGTGCTGCACTGTGACCTGTGCTCCAGCCCCGTCAAGTACTGCTGCTTCGCCCCCAGTGGCCACCGCTGCTTCTGCCGCACCCCTGACTACCAGGGCCACTTCATCGTGCTGCGCGGCTACAACCGGGCCACCAGCTGCATCTTCTACAACAACCCAGCCTATGCTGACCGTGAGTGCTGGGTGGGCAGGGCAGGGCCCCTGCCTGGTCCCTGCATCTTTCTCCTGCTCAACCTGGGGTGGCCAAGGCCTCTCTCCCTGCCTTTTCCTCAAAGCTCCTGCACCTCCTGGGCTCCTGTTATCAGGGCCACCCCTCTGGCCATGCAGGCAAACCAGCCACAAGCCTGCACCCATGCTGGCCTCCTCCACACCCCAACCACCCCTCCCTCCCATACCACTAGCCCCACGCCACTGCCCAGATCCCCACCTTATTGTCTCATGCCATTCAGGTTGCAGTTCCCCCCACCTCGAGCCCTCCCAGGATAGCCAGCACACTCAACAGAAAGGAAAGTCTGGCCAGACCCATCCAGGCCAGCCCACTGCCCTTGGGTGCTGGGAAGGACGACCCTGACTCACAGATTTACCCCTCCATGTGGCCTGGAGCATGTTACTTCCCCACTCTGGACCTCCCTTTCTCCATCTGCTAATCTGGGGAGGGATCAGAGAAAGCTCACAAGGGCCAGAATAGGCAAGGCAGGCTTTCTGGGGTTCATGAGTTGAGAGGTAGCCAGGCAGGTGGGACATAGACCCCACCCAGCTCCCTGGGCACTGGCGTGGTGGGTGCTCTTCCCCCACCCACTGACCTGCTTTACCTTCCCCACCCCCAGCAGGAATGTGCAGCACCAGCATCAGTAACTTTGAGGAGGCCAGAACCAGCTACGGCACAGACGAGGACATCCTCTTTGTCTACTTGGACAGCTGACAGCAGCAACCTGGTGTGGCCAGGCCCTCGGACCCCTATCCTACCCCACCCCCAGCAGACCCACTCAGGATGCTCTGGCCCAGGCCTGGGGCTGCTGGTGCTGGGATGCAGAGCTGCAGCCTCAGCCTGTCTGACAAAACCCCAGGGAACTCTGAGAGACTGTGGCACAGCTGCTGTATCCACCAGTGCTGTGTGTTGTCATGCCGCTTACCCCAGAGTGCCTGCTGGTTGCTGGAGGCATCCCCAGAGCATCCAAAGGGAGTCTTCCCCAGGACCCCAAGCCTGACTCCAACTGTGCTCAGGGGAATTTTAGCCCCGAGGGTGCCCTTGTTGCCTTTGAGCTGGACCCAAGGTGAGGGGAGAGTCCTGAGCTGGTCTCCTCACAGACCTTGCGACTGAGTCCTGGAGTGAGAGGTTGCTTGACCCAGTGTCACTTGGCAGGACAGCATCTGCTTGTTTGGATACAGCATAGCCAAACTCAAACCCCTGTGGGCTGCTCCAAGCCCCTCTCTTCTGGGAGTTCTGTAGACACCCCTATGCCCCGTGGGGGATGCTACCACCACCTCCTGCCTCCCACTGGGCCCAGGTTTCTGTGGCTGGGTTTTGAGGGCTCTGACCTCTGCCACGTGGCATGGACACACCTCACAGCCACTCCATCCTGAAGAGCCGTGGCCCCTGGGGACTCTGAGGTTTCTGGAAACCCTCCAGGTACTCCAGCTCTGTAGGGGAAGGGCCCTTGGGGCATGGGGTGGGCCCAAGCTCTGTTGGTATGCTCTAGGAATAAAAAGCTGCCCAGGCCCCAAGGAGCCCCTACACCCATGAGGCCTTCTGACACCAGCCTAACTCCAGACAGTGAGACCCATCCTCAGAGTGTAGGGAGCCCCAAGTCTCTCGACACTGGGTGCTAGGATGTGCACTTCTGAAGCAAAGGCAGGGGACAGCCTGTGGTCTCCTGCCTACCCTGGTCCTCATGTCAGGACCTTTTACACTGGGTCTCTTCTGTCTTGACCAAGAAAGGTGGTGCCCACCCAGGATCACACAACACAGCAAGTAGCAGAGACTGGAGTTATTTCCTTCCTCTTTTTTTTTTTTTTTAGTTGGGTGAGAGGTATTTGTTTTTTTGAGATTTAAGTTTCTATTCTATTTTTGAGGGGTGAGAATCACCTTCAAGTGAAACAATAATAGTGAGATTGCAGGTACTTTGGAACCACTAACACCTCTTTTCCCAGGGCAGGTAAGCCAGCCCGAGTTCTTTTTCAAAGAGAAAGGGACTCGGCTGCAGTCTGAGTGCCAGACCCTTCACCTTATAGACGAGGAAGCCGGCCCAGGCTGGGGTGAGTGCCCAGGACAGTGGTGGAGCTGGGTCTAGAACCTAGGTCTACACCTAAAAAATAAGGGAAATAGATTATTCCCAAAGGGGCTGGGGATACCCACCCCATATGGGCTATCTTTGGCAAAGGCACAGGGGGAACCCCAACAGCGACACCATGCCTGCACTCCTGGGTCTCGGTCTTCCAGTGCCCAAGACATGGCATAGCAGCAGCTGCTGCCCCTCCCCACCAGCTGGCCCCTCCCCCAGCATGGTGGCTGTGAAAGACAGGTGGGCTCTGCTTATGAAGTTTGTCAGGCCACCCAACCACATTGTTCCTGAACACCAGATGCAGCCTTTGGCTGAGGGAGAGGTGCGGTTAGCTGGGCAGCCACCCTGGGTCTCAGAGACTAGTGTTGGCTCCAGACTGGTCTCATCTCCATTGCCTTAATGCTGGGTGGCCTAAGGTCCCAGGGAGCTCTGGCTGCAAGCAAGGAGTACCACACATGGCAGCTGTGGGGTGTGGGCATCCTCAGGAGAGGTTCAGGTAAAATTGTGACAATAGCTGTCTGAGGGAAACTGAGGGGAGGAAGTGAAGCTTTCAGGATGGCTACATGTGAATGAGACAATACACTGTGGGGGCTGTCACGAGGAGTGACCCCTTCGGAGAGTGGTCGGAGCACCTTAGTCCAGTCAGGACAGTTATAAACACTTAGTCCCAGGGCTCGGGGGATGGCTGCTCAGGGCAAGCCACAAATTAGAGGTCACCTGTCTGTAAGATTAGTGAGAAGGCTACCTGCCCCCAAGTCCCATCTGCCTAGGGGGAGTCACAGAGGCAGGACACAAGCCACACTTGCATTCTTGCACAAGTCATGAAAATGGGCTGGAGAAAGGCTGGACATTAGAGACTTCTGCCCACAGCATGTGGCACCCACGACTTCCCAGCCTGTCCACATGCTGGGGCCCAGAACAGCCTCTGAAGCCACGCAAGACAGCTGGCTTTGTTCACTTTAGCCACAGGGGGATGAAAGGGATCTTTTGCATTGCAGAGATTTTATACATAAATATATTTTGTTTGTAATGAGCCATTCTCAATAAACGTTCTCACTGTAAAATGGTGGCCTCCCCGGCCAGCCTTCACAAAACTGCATTAACCTGCAGAATTCCTGTCTCCTTCCCAGGTTCTTAGCACACGTGCATGGGAACCCAGGTCCTTGACTTACCACACCCATTTTGAGCTGGGTCTGGAATCCCATTTTCTGCCTTTCAGGCCCACGTTCCTCCCATTCATGCCTCAATGCTTGTGTGAAGCCTGGACATATAGTGGTGGAGATGGAAGGGCCTTGAGCTCAGCTCAGCCATGGTTCTTGAAGAGGGCATGGAGAGGCACTACCTTGTGCGGGGACGAGAGCCTGGATAGGCTATGGGGAGTGAGGGGACAGTAGGGCCTGCAGAAGGGAACAGAGAGGTAGCACAGTGGGCAGGACTTGAATCCTCCCTGCATCCTCCGAGGGCATGGAGAGGCACTACCTTGTGCGGGGACGAGAGCCTGGATAGGCTATGGGGAGTGAAGGGACAGTAGGGCCTGCAGAAGGGAACAGAGAGGTAGCACAGTGGACAGGACTTGAATCCTCCCTGCATCCTCCGCCCAATACCAGCAGCTCCCCTTATCTGCCAGATACTGGTCTCATCTGGGATTTCATTTGATAATTGCATTTTAGAATTCCACTTCGGAAAAAGGAAGTGTTTGGAAATCCTGGGAGACCTGGCAGCTTCAGACCTGCCCCAGGTCCTCCAGGGAGCTGAAAGAACTGGCTTCTTGGGTAGGACCCAGGTCTCCCACTTGTGCCCCCATCCTGACTGCTGCTCTGCCCTCCTGCCCCCACATCAAGGAGACAGGGTAACAGGCATTCTGATCGGGGTCTTGGACTCTCTTTCAAACCGAGAGTGGCCCTGTAGACATACCTTCAGCTGAACAGCTGAAGCAGCACCAGTCACTGCGGGGTGCCCAGCTAGTGTGTGCCAGGCAGTGTACCAGGTGTTCATGTATAGCCATCTGTATGTGAACACTAGTAGTGAGCTTGCCTTTCTGTGCACCTCAACTTGAGCCTCCTTCCCACCTCAAGGAAGGGGCCCCATCCTGAATGGGCACATCTTGGGTTGTGGGCTTTGAGTGGCCACTGAGTGCAATTATGGGAGACAAAGGACAGAATGAGGGAGACGTTGAAGCAGGAGTGACAAAAGTGGGTAGGGTGGTGAGCCTTGGGTGAAGTTGGCTGCCCAGAGCATGCAGGGTGGGGATAGTGGGGGCACAGACCAAGGACTCCAGGGAAGAGCCCCAGTGGGAGCCAAGGGGCCAGGCCAGAGCAGAGGTCTGAGCCCAGATTCCCCACCAGGGCCAGCTACCCAGCAGTGAGAGGGCACACATGCCACCCTACCTTACTAACCCCTTGTCCAGACTGCTTTTTGGTAGGGCAGCATTCCCATGCCCAGTTGCCTTGTGAGCCCACCTCATGAGTCCACCTCCCCCTTAAATCTGAGGATGCCCACAGGCCACCAGAGGACACTGGACACCCAATGCCAAGGAGAGACATGGGGCATGTCACAAGATGAGTAGGTTCTACCATAATGCATGGAACCAATGGTTTTACCAATAGAATCAGACACACTTTGGTTGTAGAAGGCATTGTATAATTTCATTAGATTTCTATTTCCACATAACAAATTGCCCTAAAACTTAACAGTTAAAAAACAACAAAAACTAAAAATGCAAAAATAAAATAAACTTAGTTTAAAACAATACTCATGATCATGATCTCACAGTTCCTGTGAGTCAGGAATCTGGGTGCAGATGAGTTGGTAGTTTCTCATGAGGTTTCAGTTAGGCTGTTGACCAGGGCTGCAGTCACCTCAAGGCTACACTGGGGTTGGGGCATCTGCTTCTGTGCTCACTCTGGGCTGCTGGCTGTAGGGTGCCCAAGTGTCCTCATGACATGACATGGCAGCTGGTAACCAGAGAGACAGAAAGAGAGCCAGGGAGTGCTCAGGATGGAAGCCATGATGTTTTTATAACCTAATTTTGGAAGTGATCTCCTATCATTTCTGCAGTATTCTGTTCGTTAGGAGTGAATCAGGAAGTCCAGCACACTGGAGATTTCATAGAACATGAGTAACAGGAGGCCGGGACCACTGGAAGTCATCTTAGAGGCTGCTGGCCACAATGGCCAATTGGTAAATATCAGAACAGAACTAGGAACGCCCCTGAAGACCATCTTGTCTAGCACATCCTGAGGCATGCCTTTCAGGTGGCCAATGGTGAGAAGTTCCATACATCCGGGTACCCGGTTCAGGCCAGCTTGGCAAACACTGGGTGCTGCAGTCTCTTCCAGGAGATTTAGGCTGTGCAGAAGAGGCTCTGTAATTCTGCAGCAGGGGGACTCCATCAGTAGCTGGCTACAGAATTTGTTTTCATGTAACACTGGTATTCTGTGAAATATGTTGACACTTCAGTAACCACTAATCTGGTTCAAGGGGAAAGACTGAGAGGAGCCCGGAGAGGAGCAGCAACTGCCCAAGGTCATCAATCAGTGAGCTGGAGAGAGCGAGACCCAAACCCGTCACTGCTGCTTTCCCAACCCCAGCCCAGGCCATAGTCAGAAGCAACTCCAGTGACTGTAAGGGGAGCCAATGCCAGAACAGCCGGGAGGTGAATGCTGAGTTCTACAGCTGGAGATGGCTGCTGCTGGCCCTGGGGGCCTCCTCTGGGTGGAAAGGCTGGTGCAGGGCCTGATAGCTGCAAGAGGGCAGGTCCTTCAACTCTCCAGCTGGCTCACCTCCATGCGGCCTGCCCCAGTTGCCGGACACAGGGATGCATGTCGCGGGCTTGCCCGTACCTTCCAGCTTCAGGATGGAATTGAAGAAACCAGGAAAATATCAAGACCTCATCCTGCTGAGCTTCTGGTCCCCAGGGGCCGAGTGATGGGATCAGTATGGATTTGCGTGTTGATGGAAAAACCTCAATGCCAGGAAATGGAGGCTGAGACTCTCACAGGCCCAGACCAGTGGCCGTCCAGCAGCTTCTTCCTTTCCTCCCCACCCTCAGCCTCCCACCTCTCTGCCTCTCCCTGGCTGCCTGCCCCTACTGAATCCTGCCTTCTGAGGCTCTGCCCCGAGCTCCTGGTGAAATCCTATGCTTCCCACAGCTCAGGGAGATCTGGTGAGCTGGCTTCCCCGAGCTATTTAGCGCCCCTTGGTTTGCCAGGGCTTGATGTCCTCATCTCATTCTGTCTTCACAACAGAGGCTTCCTCTTGGTACCAACCTGCCCAAGTACTTTCCTCCTCCAGGACATTTGAACCTTCTGTTTCTTCCTCTGCTCCCCCTCTCCCCTTGCTGAAATGTCACCACTTTCTATAGGACCACCTCTACCCTTTCCCACCCTTCCTCAACCACATCATCCTGTCTCCCTGTCTCTACTGCTTTGCCCCAGTACCTGACACCTAGTAGGTGCTCAATAAATGTGAGTGAATGGATGGCAGTAGATCTTTAATTAAACACCCATTTCAGCAGCGCTCCTATACTTTTCAGAACTATGGGTCCTCATTAAAGGAGAAGTTGCATTTGAACCTATGGTGTCATGCAGAATTCAACATTCTCTCCTACAAGGAAGGGTGGAAGGGTAAAATAATGATTTTTTTACAGGATAATTTGGCAGTATACTATTAGTTCTCCATGGATCTCTGCATTTCTGCATGTCTCGTGAGCAGGGGTACTATCTTTTTTCTGAACTATCTTTTCAAGGATGTTTGTATAGCAAATAGCCTTGGAAGAAAGTGAGTGTCTCCCTTAAGAGCAGAAAGGAAGATGTACTGCCCAAGATTCAGGTTCTTTAAGCTCAGGCTTCCTTTCTTGTAATAGCCCACTGCAAATGCAGGTGTTACCTCGCCTCCTTTGGAATTAAGGTTTGGAGAATCAATGCAAGAAAATGCTGGTACTCTGGCTACTGTTATTGCTGTAATAAACTGTCCTGAATGCTGTGTCTTCTACCAGCATCCATGAAACTGTAGCAGACTAACTTGCAAATAAAACCCTTCATAGACAGTTTTGGTGACAAAGATGGGTTGCTGCCTGAGATGTGGTTTTCTGGAAGAAGGATGAGAGCCTTGCGGGTGGATGAACAGGAAGTCCATGGGAACTGGAAACAAATTTGTTGACCAACTTGTATGGTACTCAGGCAATAAATGAAGAATTGGGGGGGGGGGGTTGCAGGCCCAGTCACTGGAAATAGGTTCAAAGATAGCTGCCTGGATGGTGACCTGGTTGTTGCTAACTGTCCTTGGGCAGAGGGTGTCCTGCACTAATCTGGTGGCAGCTTCATGTCTTCCCATTGTAACAACTAGTATTAAAATTCATCTTTAGTGGGGAGATAGTTCAAATCCCTTTCAGACGACAGTTACTGAGATACCCAACTACACTGAGCATGGAAGGTGGGAAATGTATGACCACTGTGGAAAGAAAGCAGGCGAGTTGCTGGAGACTTGGCTGGTTTGCTTGGGTAATGAGGGGGTGGAGCATGGGATACTTGCAAAGGAGGAATGGGACAGCTGGACTGTCTTTTGGCTCAGCTCCTCCTGCAGTTTTTCATGCCAACTTTAAATCCTTTAGGATACAATGGTAAGTTAGGAGATTCCCCTTAGATAAACTCCTATAGAAGACCAGAGATGAAGCACTGTTGAGTATTTGGGCTCTTACTGCCTTAGATTAGGTTTTCAGTGCTCATAAAGATGGCCCACTGGAGAGTGAGAAACTGATCCAGAGAATTCTAGATAAATCCTTTCAGTCAGCTCCATCACCCAGGAAAGTTTCCTTGTCCTTATGTTAAAAGTTTCCTTGTCCTGCTGTTAAAAACAAGCAAAAACAAGTATTATTCTGACAATAGAGCAGCAAATGTCTCGGATTAAATTAGACTCCTCAAAAAAGTTACCAGAGCTCATGTCTAGTCAGCAAAGAGCAAAAACCCTGTGGCCCCAGCCAGAAAGCAATGTGGCTATAAAGTCAAGGGACCCCCAAAGCTGAAATCAATGGTGTCAGTAATGATGGCTTGCCACCTGATAGGGGGCTGTGGGTGGACTGAAAACACTGTCAGTTCATTCAGTTGAGCCATGAATTGTTGCCACACCACTCGAACCAGGAAGCAAGTGTGCTCTTGTTCGGTGGCACAGAGCCACTTTCTCCCTCCACAGTACCTGATCCTTTACTCCCTCTCTACCCCAACCTCAGCTGCTTTAAGAAGAAATGATTAGGGATGAGGCTGGGGTCTCCCTGTCCTCAGGGGTCCAAAGGCCATGTACACCCATCCAGGTATGCTGGGAACTTTGGGGGCAGGAGAGACTCAAATTTTTATGGGTCTGTTGGATATGAGTGCCTAAATCCTTCCTGATCCTTTACTCCCTCTCTACCCCAACCTCAGCTGCTTTAAGAAGAAATGATTAGGGATGGGGCTGGGGTCTCCCTGTCCTCAGGGGTCCAAAGGCCATGTACACCCGTCCAGGTATGCTGGGAACTTTGGGGGCAGGAGAGACTCAAATTTTTATGGGTCTGTTGGATATGAGTGCCTAAATCCTTCCTGGTCTCAGGAAAGGGGGGTTCCAAATTCAACTGATGGGGTTTGGGCAAGTTTCACCGTGGGAGTAGAAAAAGCTATGTACCTGGGGCCCTTTGGTCCAATTCAATGTATTATTTTTGTGTGTCTACATCTGAATGTATAGTAGGGATTGATGCCTGTCCTTCCAGCCCTTAAGTGACAGAGGGGATTCTCCCAATCTGATAGAACTGTGTGCAGAGAAGTGCTAGTGGGATTAATACCTCTGCCGTTTGCCCCTAGTGGGTGGGTCAGGATTTAGCTGAGTCCCTCTACCCTCTGATGTCCAATACTTTCACTACATAGATGATGTCCTGTTGTGTGGCAAGTCAAAAGTTCTCAGCCTCAAAGATCCTCACTGTGGTGTTATCACCTCCACCAGCAGGGGTGACTGAAAATCCCTGAAAAAGTTCAGTTTCTTGGGATTATATGGGCAGATTCACAATGCTTAATCCTTCCGGCCATCAAGAAAAAGCTGCTGGCCTCTGCTTTATTCTTTCACTCCTCCACCACCACCATAGGAGGAAGCCTGTCACCTTCTTGGACTCTTTGGTTATTGGGGACAGCATATACCTCAACTGGGCATTCTACCTGGCTCATTACATTGGCTAATCTGCAAACCAGAACCCTTTGAGTGGGGCCCAGATCAACAGGCTGCATTGGAAGGTGTCCAACAAGCTGTGTCCACTATCTACCTTTGGGTACAACCCTAATGACCCCTTTAAGTTATAAAAGTCTCTGTGACTGATAATTGGAACATCTGGTAAAGGAAGACTGATTGCACCCAAAGGTGCCCCTTGGGGTTTTAGATTTACTGCCTCCCTGACACAGTAACTAGGTACACCCCTTTGGAAAAGTTTACTATCTGGGTCTTGTTAAAATAGAACACCTGATCCATGAAAGCCTTGCTTGTAAAATGGAAATGGCATATTCAAGAATGCAGCTATCCTGGCCCTGGTGACATCTCAGCTTTACATGAAAAAATCGGCAGCTAACCCTTTGGGGGAAACTTATATCCCCCACTTCACCAAAGCAAAGCCACTGGCTCAACGGGGACCTCAATTCACAGAGGTTCTTCTTAATGCCTGGACCTGGTTTACTAATGGCTCAACTAAGCTGAACCCTGATGGTGTCCACTGGGCTACTGTGGCTGTTCACCCTCAGCAGCAGCTACACAGACTGGAAATGGATGCAAGTCACTCTGCTCAGCAGGCAGAACTCAGGGCCATTCTCATAACCATGGGCCAATACCCCCCTTGGCAGGCCTTCTTATATTTCTGCTGACTCTTGGGCTGTTGCCAGTGGCCTCGTTGTTTGGTCTGCCACTTAGAAATCCTCACCCGACAGATTAAAGACCCCCTGCTTTGGGGCCATGAACTGTGGAAATAAATTGTGGCTGTGATTGACCTGTCTGGGTCACACATGCAGATACCCAAGAGCCTGTTCTCTGATGAGACCAACTGGATTAGGCTGTTGATGGAATCTGCACTGCCCAGATTGCCACTGGGATCCATCAGTGTGTTGGACGGACATGGCAACACATCCACAGCAAACCAGGCACAAAGGAAAAGATTGTCTCTGATGCATGACACAGAGGCTCCCACCACATTCCAGGCTTGTGATTCTTACCAAAGGTTGGCCCATTTCTCTTGCAGAGGAGGTCACCTTGCACAGGGAATGGTCCCAGCAGGCTCCTGGCAGACTGACTTCATCAGTCCTTTAATCTCCTCTTGGGGCTATTGGTGGTGCCTCACCACTGTTGACACTTTTTCAGGTTATTGGATTGTTCAGTCCAATCAGCCAACTCTGAGTATACCGCCATGGCCCAAGAAACAAATCTGCATCATGTTTTTGGGTTTCTGGACCATTTGCAGTCTGACAGTGATGTAACTTTTATCACAAAAGCCACTCAACAATGGTTGATAGTCAAGGTACTTAAGGGACCTTCCACACTCCCTGCCATCCATGATTATCTGGTATTGTTGAGCATTGGAATGGCTTCCTCACAAATCAACTCAAAAAGTCTTTGACTCTTCCCCCCCCCACTCCCTCCTGGTCCACTGACTTTCATAAAGCATTTTGGTTACCGAATACAGCTGTCTCTAGAAAGGTACATCTAGGAGAGAAGGGTAGGAAGGTTATAAAGATCTATTTTGAACATTTGGGTATGGTGATTTGTTTTCTTTCCCCTAATAGCAGCCCCAGGGTAGCCTGGTTGGCACACCTTCTAGATGGCAGCCCAGCTAAAAGGAGGCCTGGGGGCTTAAACTGGATTCTGGTTCAGCCACCTGGATTCTCTTGTGGGATTGACATGGTCTTAGGTTACAGGGGCAATGACCACTTGGGTGAGCACACTGCTCACTGAGACCTCCAACAGTGGCCCATGTGGGACAAAGTGGGGAACATAATGGGTCTTTGTGCATTTTATAAAAATGCCCTTGTTCCTCTCGCACCTGACTCTCCCAAACAAAAGGTCTGGGCGCAAAAAAAGGGATATGCATTTTATAAAAATGCCCTTGTTCCTCTCGCACCTGACTCTCCCAAACAAAAGGTCTGGGTGCAAAAAAAGGGATAACTGGGGCCGGCCCGGTGGCGCACTGCTATAGTGCGCTGCTTGGGAAGCGTGGCGGCGCTCCCGCCGAGGGTTCGGATCCCATATACAGACCGGTTCTCACTCACTGGCTGAGCGAGGCGCGGGAGCAACGCCGAGGGTTGCAATCCCATTGCCGGTCCCGGTCCGGTACGGGGGCGACACTGAGGGTTGCAATCCGCTGCCGGACACGGAAAAAGAGGTGACGTTACAGGTACTGGAATGGGACACACCAATTTTGGAGGGGAAGCAGCAACTCTGACACCTAGGTAGGAAACATCTTAGATCCTAGGAGATAAGGAAGGGTATTCATGATCTTTGTCTTTCACAATTGCCCCTGAAGCCTTCCTCATAATCAAAAATGCCATGGTGCAGCTCTTCTAAACCTTTGCAAGCACCTTAAAAGCAGGTTCTGCCTTCCCCCATCAGATGGATTTAACCACAGTTTGATCACCATTCCCATTAACCTTGCCAGAAGCCCATTGGGAACAGCAGAGTACACCCCTGGCACCTGCACCTCCCATGAAAAACACCTGCAATACCACCAGATGTCTCTCCCACCCCCATTCCCATAGACCTCACTCAGCCATTCACCCAGCTGGTGGCATGGACAAACAGGATATTCACACTAACTGCTCTCAGGCAGTCCTTCTAAATACAAGGATTAGACTCAATTATTTTAAGTAAACTGGGAACCTGAAAGCCTACCAGCTAGCCAGGATCTGTGCCCCAACTGATATAGGTCCACTTGGGGGACCCCAACAATTGTAAACACTTTCTGGGGGTGCTATGTGTGCCTTCACGGCTATACTTATGTGGAAGCTAGACATTAACTTGACAACCTCCCCAAAACTGGGTCCTGCATCTTCACAGTGGTCATAAGAGACCTTCAAGTGTCTAAGCAAAGACTACCAATAATAGATCATGCAGCCCACAGACAACTGTGGAGATCTCTCTAAAATGAGGCTACCTTAGTGTCTCACGGGAGCTTCTTGGACAGATTACTGACTTACTATTAATGTGCACTATGGAGACAGTTATCCCTATGATGGGAGTCATCTGATGAAAAAAGGCAATGCAATATTCGTCCCTTTTTTTTTTTTTTTTTGGCAGCTGGCCGGTAAGGGGATCCATACCCTTGACCTCGTTGTCCCTGATTTTAGCTGAAGTGCTCAGTGGTATCGCCCTGGCTCTAGAAGGCATTCAGGTCAGTGTCTACTCATTGGCCAGGGTTGGTATGGTTGATAGACTTGCCCTAGACTTTCTCCTTGTGGGCCAGAGCGAATGTTGTGCAATATCTAATATATCCTGCTGTACCAGGATTAATGACTTGGGCCAAGTAGAAAGATCAATATTTGAGAACGTCACCTGGCTTTCTAAGGTAGACCTTGATGATTTATAGGATTTGTTCAGCCTGTTGGGTCAAGGACCCTGGGGTCAGGACTAAGGTTAATATTGCAGGTCGGGTTCATTCTGTTGCTTGAAGTCCTGTTGATTAAATTAAGTAAATGCTCTGAGACAAATTGAAATGATTTGGTACCCTCTGTTGGTCAGATTAATTAGAGTGACTGATGGAATGGCATAGTCATGGGAAAACTGCCAGAAGCCAAGATAGTATAGGTGGATATTGTTGGGAGATAATTCTCCATAAGTCTCTCTCTCATGGAGTATGAGATAAAAACTATGAATGCCCTTGTTCCGGACTCTTTTCAAGGAAGTCTGTCTGGATAGTGAACAGCCTTAGGAGACAGAGAGAGGTCCAGAGCAAAGGGCAGGTGTTCTTGTGACCTTGGTAGATAAAGATAATGCTTCCATTTAGAGCAAAGGGCAGGCACACTAACCATCCAGTATAAAAGTTGTAATTCTCTAAACTCTTTTCTGTCTTCCTCTTCTCAATGCAACTCACTGTGTGTGCAGGAGTCACTTGATCCTCTTTGTGTTGGCCTGTGGGAATTGGGGCTTGGGAAACTGCTGTAAAAATGCTGGTACTCTGGCTACTGCTATTGCTGTAATAAACTGTCCTTCGTCTCTGACCCAGGAGTGTCATGTCTTCTGCCAACATTCATGAAACTGCAGTAGGCTAATTTGTCAGCTTGCAAGTAGGGTAAAATCTCTGATTCTGGGCCGGCCCGGTGGCGCACTGGATAGTGCGCCACTTGGGAAGCGCGGCGGCGCTCCCGCCCGAGGGTTCGGATCCCACTTACAGACTGGTTCCCGCTCACTGGCTGAGCGAGGCGCGGGGGCAACGCCGAGGGTTGCGATCCCGTTGCCGGTCCCGGTCCGGTGCGGGCGCGACACTGAGGGTTGCAATACGTTGCCGGACACGGAAAAAAGACAAAAAAAAAAAAATCTCTGATTCTTCACAGTTCTTAACATGATCTTTATGTTTTTTAATACAGTGAATTCCACTTCTTGGAACTTATCCTAAAGAAAAAAATAGAAATAGGACTAACAACCATAAAAATGTTCACACCAGCATCATTGGTATTAGCAATATGAATGAATAAAGAAATGCAGGGGGATGATTAAATAAAGGACTGCCCACATATGAAACATTATGCAGCTGGTAAAAATAGTTTAAAAGCAATTTTCTATGCTGTAGGAAAATTCTCACATTATATTGTGAAATCAGGGACTACCACAAAATTATAGACATTATCATCCCAATTATGTTAAAATAGTCATTAAAAAGTCTGAAAATAGGTATGCCAAAGTGTTAGCTATGGTTTATCTCTGGGTTGGAGGACTAGAGATGATTTTTTTTCTTCTCCATATTTTTCCTTTTTTTCTAAATTTTCTACAAAATACTTGCTCACTATAATCAGAGAATAAAAAGCTGATTTCTGACTGCCACGGTCTCCAGCACATGATCATCTGCCTACTTTCCCAGCCGTGCCTTTGCTCAACAGACATTCCTCGTGGGCCTGCTGCACACCAGGGCCTGGAAGAGAATAAGCACAGAGAAACAAGAGCCGAGGCCCACCTCTCAGCCTACACCTGGCAGGGCAGATGCCTGTATTCCAGGGCCCTTGGCTCATCACAGACAGAGGTGTGTGACCAGGAAGGCCTTTTGAGCAAGCCGGCTGTCCAAGAGGGCAGGCTCAGCACTTGGCTGGACTGGCCCAAGGCAATAAGCTGGAGAGTATCTATGCGGGGAGGAGTTCTGTGGATGAGCAGGTGAACTGAGGGTGGGGTGACAGGCCTGGACTAGCCTCTCACTTCCCTCCAAGCTGAGTCAGGGGGTGCAGCTCAGCTTCCAGCTCCTGGAGGATGAAGGGGAGAAAGAATCCCACCTCCCTCCACACCTCTAGGCAGGGGGAACAGAATCAGTCCTTCAAAGGCCTGATCCCTCTGCCTCAGGTGACTTCAGGCGGTTACCCACTGTGGTGAGAGGAGGACTACCCAGTGGCTTTTCCCCACCGCCCCCCCCCCACCTTTTAAAAAGTCACAGTAAGGGCCGGCCCGGTGGCGCACTCGGTAGAGTGCAGTGCTTGGGAGTGCGGCAGTGCTCCCACCGAGGGTTCGGATCCCATATAGAGACCAGTCAGCTCACTGGTTGAACACGGTGCGGGCGCGACAC